CTTGGACACCAGAACATACAAAAGACCTCTGTGCTTCCTTCAGAACATAAATGCTTTTTCAGATGAGCTACACAGCTATAGCCACAAGAACCTAAACTTCAGATACAAGGTTTGCTTCAAGAAGTCATTTTACTGAAAACTTTTCCCCTCAAAGTGGTCAATCATCAAGCAATGGTCCAAGACAAGAGGGCCTATCTGATGTTTTCCCATTCTTGAGTCTGCCAGAGGGCAGAAAGGGGTTGGAAATAATTTTAGCTTGGAGGCGGAAAATACTCTTCGAAGCAGAATTAGCAAAACTATTTTTCTTCTTTCCATAGGTATTGTGAGCTTGTTTCTCTGTTCAGAAGGGAGGTAATCTCACTCCACAAACCCTCATTCAATGAAGACAATTCTGTCATTAAGTAATTTTGCATGCAGACAGCAGGGAGATTAGTATCATTTAATTCCACCTGGAACAGAGGAAAGGCTCTAATTCTACTATCCACCACTGTGAGTTCCTCCATGCATGAGTTTTTAATGTTCTGTAAACTTTTTTTGGAACCTGCAGCCAAATGTGAAATTGTCAAATCTGTGGTGATCCACATCTGAACTTGGATTTTGTCATAAGTAAAATGGGTGTGTTCTGTTCACTGTTGTTACTACCTGCCATGTCTCTGCATCAGAGCATTATCCAGCTACGTGGCACAATTCAGTATGACCAACAGCCCCCAGAGAAAAAGAGACAACTAGAATACAGAAGGGAGAATGTCATGATACGTGTCAGGGATGACATATACTCAGATACTCAGTGACTTCACACCTGCTTTTCTTTTGCCTGCCTTTCTTTACACCAACATCTGAAATCAAAGCAGGAGTCACAAACGCTGTACAACTTTTCCCTCCAATAAAAAAAAAAAAAAATTAAAAAAAATAAGACAGACAGTCCCCTCTTATAGCTCACATCCCAAGCTAAGAATCATTAATACTCTTAATACGTTACTAACTATGCGAAGTCTACAAAATAGTCCTCTATGAAACACGCTTAAACAAACAGCGAATATGAGGATCTCAACGCAGCATTATCAAAGCTGGAAATATATAATCTTAGCCTTTCAAGAAACAAAAGCTATCTCTTTTCCAATCAAAAAAACCCCCAAGATAAATTTTTCTACCAAGCTCCTCACGGAATCCATTAATGTATTTATGAAATCATTCAGCGCTCACCACATGATCTCAGTATACCATCCACTCATCTCGAGCTAACACAGCTGAGGAAGAGAACACAAGCTGTTCTGTTTGCTTCTTTGCACTGCTGTCATGGTGCAGTCTAATGAGGGCATACCATCTTACATTTTCAGAAACACATCCTTGTGCATTTCTAAACTGATAAAGCACCATATACATTTGCATGCATCTGTCTTTACAGATACATATATAAGGCTGAAGTAAAGGAATCATAATTTACTGTGAACAGTATTGAAGAGAGCTTGCACTAGTTTGTATTATGTCTGATAGGCTCAGAGAGCTTAAGAAACAGCTGGATATAGATGAGATGAAAAAGCTGGCAGTTTCTTCTTGGAGGGTAAATGCATAGTCTGATGTGATAAAAGAAAAAACATCCCTCTGTTGCAAATGGGTCACGTATGTATGGGACAGTCACAAATTCTGCACTCGAACAACTGCCCTTCCCCTTGGGCCCTTCAAGGATGAGAAATCATTGTGAGTGATTATCAGAGGCACAGTACTTATCATGACATGGTATCAAAACCTGAGAGGAGTTCACATGCCATATGCACACTACAAGAAGGCTTGGATGTAACCAACTGGATACCAGTAAACAGTGAAGCCTAGAGGTGGGGGGAATTAAAAATAAAATTAAAAAAATATATATTGTTCTCATGTAATACAGCTGGCTTCTACAGAGCAAAAGGTAGTTCTGAAACTTCAGAACTAATGAAGCATGCACAGCCACAGATCCATAGCTTGTCTGTGACTGACTGCAGTGTGCAAAAAAGGTGCAAGAGCAAAGATTAAAGCTTTTCCTATCATAAGGATATCCAAGAAGTCCACCTCTCCCCCTGTTCTCCATAAGTAACAAGTTAAAAGTGAGGTTTTGCTCAGAGGGAACTTCTACAGTCTCCCTCTTCCACCAACTACCTATTTCATCCAACCCTCAAGAATACTGTCTTTCAGCTTCTACTCCTCTCTTAAACCAGACTGAAGTACGCTCACAGGCTCAGATTTATTGCTGGGGGATGGAGGGAAAGCTTAAGTGACACAGATGTTCTCATGTACAACAGGACCATTTCCTTACAAAACCTTTATTCACCTGAGGAATAACGGAGCCTGAGGCTCTAAGTATTTTCTTTTTTGTAAGTCAAGAATAAAAGATTCTAGTACATTATCATATCTTCTACAGAAATATAAGTCCTTCCAGATTTCCTGAACCTGTATCACTAAGCAGAGAGAGTAAAGATCTTCACAGACCTAGAGCCTTCTCTGAGACTTAAGTACACTATAAAGATACTTAAAATTTCTAACAGTCAGCTCAACCAAGCTTGTATTTCAATCACATACAAGTAGGCACAAAAACCCAGTGTCTCAGTAATTCCTAGTTGTTCGATAAGAAGCTTTGGAAATGACCATCCTTCTTTTCCACCTATTTGTACAAGACTAGTTTCCCGTATTACAGATTGGCTACTATTTATCAGCATAGCCATAATTTATTCTCCCAGACCAAAACGAATTTCATACTATTAGCCAAACTTCTAGTAAGTCTTTGCAACCTGCATTTCTTTACCTGTCCTTCTGTGGGGCTGAAGGTTTGATAAACATCAACTGCAAGAATACACTATAGGTCATATACACAAAATTCTGAAAATACGAGCATGAATTATCTAACACTTTTATGCTGATCCTTAAAATGATCACAAATTGAAAACACACAATGGAGAAATCTGTCTTTTCATGTACAAGGAATATCAAAGCAAGCTATGAATGTTTCAGCTAGCTGTGCCCAAGTATCAATTCTTTCATGAATTAAAGCAGCAAGGGTTTTTCTAAACCCTAGAAAAGCACACACTTCCAAACTATTAAGCCAAGAAGTGGCAAGTAAATTGCACAAAACTAGAGACATTAGACTCTGACAGTATATGCAAAAATCTGATACAGGCAATTCTAAACCCCGAAACATTTAATCAGGGACAGCACTGTCAAAATAGTCATTTTCATACTACACTCAGCTGAATTAAATGTAGGCTGCGCAGCAGTAAGCCTTCCCCCCCCCCCTTTTCTTTTTCCGAGTTCATAGCTGATTTTGGTCTTTAGAAGCAGCCAGATAGCAGGCAAGCAAAAATATGGAAGGCTTTAAATGGAATTACTTGATGTGGCAAAACAGTTTTTAGGGACAGGAAGCATTTTGAAGAAAATTGTTTCCTGCTGTGTTAGAAAACTGTATCATCAAGAGAAAAAGTTACCTACTTAGATATTGCTGTTACCCATTATTCTTTTCCCTTACACTATTTGAATAAGCATACATTATTCCTTTTCCTTTGAGTAGCACAAATTAAGTCAGCAGCAAAGTCTGTCCACATTGTCAGTGAAACAACTGACTTGCATTTGGTCTTTTCTTAACATTTTCTTTCTTGCTTTAAAATGAAAACAGTGACTGCACAGATTTTATTTTCTTGTTAGGCAAAGCATTTAAATGAGGTCCTTATCTTTGCCTTTTAAAGTGGTGAGCAAATACCTCTATTCATTTTATTTCATTTTATTTTCCCTTGGGGTTTTACCTCTCTTCCATAGCAGCAAGTGATTTGTGGATCCTTTTCCCTTTGACACATGATTTATTTGGCTCAATTTCCACCGCTTTAGTGTATTCTGCTACCCCACTGCCTTTGAGTCACCAGAATTCCCTGTTGCTCAGCCTTCAATCCTCTGAAAACATCATCCTCCTACCATTGTATTTTGAAAGATAATTTTCAACCCTCTACATTTACACTAGGCATTATGGCATAAGCACAGCTCAGAGCAATTATCCTGAAGTTTCTTCCTTTCAGAAGTAATGATACTTTAAGAATTGCTTTAAAGGAAGGTAGTACATAAGAAAGGCTGCTTTTACAACGTGTCAGCAGTCAACACCAGTATCAAGGCTGCACAACCAAGAACAGTTTTCCCATTACAAGCTGATATTCAAACAGAAATTGTAACATGAACAACAGGCTAAAATAATTCCATCCAACTGTTTGGAAAGGCCTGATGTGGTTATCTGAATCTCAACACCACATCAGCACTGAGAAACACCCGAAACACTAATGCACCAATATGTAGGTACCTTAAAAAGAAGGAAGAGCTGTCCAAATGTTCAAAAGGAAAATAAAGAACAACACCCAGAAGAAAACTGGAGGCTTATCTGAAGAGCCACTTAACTGTACCTCAGCCTACTTGCATATCCTGTTATTTAAAATGTAGCCATCACTTTTCAAGTCCTCCCATTCCATTTTCCTCGCTAAGTCTCCTTGAAAGAGTCTGGACCTGCAGAAGAAACATGTCTTTGACAGTCATGCAATTATTCTTTTTTAAATTGGTTAGGGACCAATTCATCATGCCATTCCTCAAGTGCAGTTTGAAAACCAAGCATGCTTATATACTTTCATGTATAATGGGCACTGAGTAAAGTTAAACTTTCATTTAGGAAATAAATGAAATAAATCCAGCTATTTCTCTGGAGTTAACAGAAAAACATAACCAGCTCAGTTAGCATACCTCAGTTTCATTTCAACAAACATGTTTGCTCCTTTGTGTGTTTGTGCACCCGATTTTGCCTCTCGCACTCCCAAAAAAAACCCCAACCAACCAAAGACCTTCTCACATAAAATTATATAGCGATGTACAATATAGAAGAATCTGGTTTGAACTGTCAAATGGCATTTACTCTGAAATATGGTTATATATGAAAGTCACAAGTATAATGTTTTAGTTGTGGTATGTTGGAATAGCAGGAAAAAATACAGTTAAAACTCTTTCCATTTCCATACACAACTTTTATTGCAATTCCTGTATTCTAAGCGTACAGATACAAATATAAAATGACCCATGACAAACTTTAAACCTGTCCAAATAGCGAATGAGAAATTAATTCAGTATTAGAGCCAAAGTTGACAGGACTTCAACAGGTGATAGGAAGCTTCCCCAGTCCTTCTCCAACAACAACCAGGATCCACCATATTTTTGGTCCAAGATGTATGCTTTAAGTTGGCAGCTGAGTCTATGAACGAGTGTATTTACCCCAGATGTGCAGCATAAACACAGAAGCAATAAAAAGAAGACTCATGACCAAAACTGGAACAGGCCCACTAAAAATAAAGAAAAAAAAAAATGAATTAACATTAAAAAAAAAGTTTGCTTTGTCTAAAGGCCAGTCATTATCAGCCAAATGAACTCATCAGTTCATAAACAACTGTACGAAAAATCTTATTCCATTCCCACAGAAATACCTTAAAGTACATAGAAATGAGATATACATCTCTATCAAAAACTGCTGCTGCCCATTTAAAAGATAGTTTTACACACCCTGTTACATAACTATAAAGCACAAAATAATAATAAAAAAAATAAAAATCACTCATTTTAAATCCATTAATGGTTCATTATTACTCAATGTTGTGAAAACAATCTCTGGTAAATTATCTTCTGTATTTACCACTCAGATAGCCACCTGAGCAGAGATGTAGTCAGATTCAAAAACCAACAGAGTCCTCTAGCGGCTAGTAAAATTTTGGCGTAAGATTCGAATTAGCTGTTTTTTTCAGAGGTTTGATTTCTTTTGGAAACAATGGCAACAGTGGGTGAGAGACAAGGACTTTGTTTTCTTCAGAAAGATATACAGATTGACAAAGTTCACTCCATCATTAAAACATTACCTAAAATGTATAAAATAACAAATTTATTAACCTTTTTCCTTCCCATTATTATACATTGTTTAGAAACTGTGATGTTTTTAAAAGCCAGTTTAATCTTAGCATGTCGAGAGACTAAATCGGCTGTTTCACGCTGTGCTGAGACAAAATTAGGTGCACTTTTACACAATTACATGCACTCAACACTGCTTCATACCACTCACTGCATATAATCTCACTTCTGATTTTCAACACGAATTCTGTTATCCAGCCTGGACTATCCTCCAGGTTACTGTTCATAAGCAGGTGTTACTTGAATACAAAGTTAGAAAGAAGCTGAAAATGGATGGAAACAATTTACTAACATTTTTCTGAGATCATGGTCCACGTATTCAAACGTTCGTAACTGTATTCTTATACTGAGTTTTAAAACTCAATTATTATCTGCCATAGCCTTATCAGGGTATGGAGAACCCTGAACAGACATAAAGCATTTATCAAATAAACCAGTGACAAAACATGCAAAATAAAATACACACACACACATTGACTACATAAGCAACCCCTACCAAGGAGCATGTTTCACCAAGTAACAGAATGTACTTCTCGATCCCCATTGTTTTATACATATTTGAAGTTTATGTTCTCCATAATATAAATCGCAATGATATCAGGTGCCCAAAATCTTATCCTTTACCTGAATTATTATTTAATTCCTTTGAACCTTTAGTAGTAGCAACATGCAAGCTACTCTGACGAAGGCACACGGGAATAAAGGACCACCACTAACCAGAACAGAGCAACACAGAAATGAACAAGGGAGGGTTGTTTGTATGTTTAGTGGCTGTTTAGTTGTTTTGGGTTAAGATGCAGATGACAAAATAAACAGCTTTCCAATACTGACATGTATCTTATTTCCTCCAATCCCAAAGACAACCTGCTGAAACCTTGCCATTCTCCTCCATACACCTGAATCTTCTCAGCACACCATGCAGTTTAAACAGATTCAGGCACCTCTAAGATTTGACACTGTCCATTCTCAGAATGTCTTTCATAAGGTTGTGTACTGTATCACAAGCCCAATTTGACTCTCTACCCACAGGAAACACCGCCAATAGCTCTTCAAGCACGAAAGCCTGAAACAAGACACAGGAACCACAGAAAAGGCAACAAGTTTGGGTTTAGTCTTCTTTGCAAAGTATAAAATGCTCGATCTGAGTTTTTAAGAGAAAAATATTGTATCCCACTCTCAACCAGATTCCGCACAGCTTCCTTTTGCTAATATTACTTTTAAAGGCATACCTATATTGTAGCATCTGGTATTACAGACAAAGGTACTTTCCCGAGGCAAATCAAACTTGCTTGTTCAACATACTCTGTTTCTGATATTGAGTACAGATACTATATGACTAAAATATAATTATGCACAATATAAAATCCTAACTAGCATGAAATAACCTGTTCTCAGGTGGGTTTATGTTGGTTCTTTTTCATAGTAATTTTAAGAGCCCATATTTTGAACAGCATCAGGAGAAAAACGAAACACCATCATGCTAAGCTTTCACACTGCTTTATGCAGTAGCAATCACAAACATTTTTAAAAACTTCAGCTGAAGCACTTTACTGAGGCAACCACAACCCCTCCATAACCTGTTTTTACTTTTAAACCTACCAAACAGGACAAAGAACATAACAATTGGTTGTTATAGAAAAAACATGCATAGAAAAATGCATGGAAATCTGTGAGAAAGAATGCTGCTCCCAAGCCATGGTTCAGAAGGTGTTACATCTAGTGTGATTTGTGAAACCAACTCACTTTTACGGACTTGTTTCTTCTCTTAAGAGCCTGCCCATACAGCTACCCATAGCAGCTTGCAAAAATATCCTCAACCAACCAAGCAAACAACAACAACAAAAAAAAAAAAAAACAAACAACTAAACCAAACCAAACCAAAACACCAAAAACCCCCCAACAACACTTCCAGTGTTCTAAATCCCCAAGATTTGGAACCACTGTGTTGCAACTTAAACAGAAGGGAAAATCTACTTGCTGATCTGCTTGTACTGAAGACTAGAACAATTAAGTGGCCACTTAACATCAAAAGTGATACCAAAGGATTCACAAGGAAACTTACTGAAACTGGTAAAGCTGCTTCAACAGCTTCTATCATAGATCTTAAAAAATAAAAACAAAAATCTACCTAATGATACGAGCACTTCTGTTTTTTTCTCAGTTTGCTTTTATTATTTTTTTTTTTCAATTGAGCTTTAGTGGACCAAACACCACACCAAAGCTATCTGTGTATCTGCACGGATTTGTTCTAGAACACTATTATTGCTCATTGGCTTTTTCTTTTCTCAGACTTGTCTCCTCTTTGGATTCAGAATGGAGAAAGCAAAACCTTTGAAAAACCTTTCTGCAGCAGCAGAACACCACTACTTTGATGGTTTGCTGTAGATTTTGTTTTTTAAAGTCAAGCATGTATGAATATGAAAAAACACATAAGAGCATCAGAAGAAGGATTACCCATGGCACAATCACTAACTAGACCATCACCAGCTCTTCCCCAGATGTTCAGTTTGCGCAGTCAAGAGCAGCCCCCTTGAAGAGCTCCAAAATAAAATACTAACGGATTCTATAAAAAAAACCACAAGCAATAGGGATATTCCTGAGTGTCCTGAGTCTCTTCAACACAGCAAGAACAAGAGGCGATGAAGTATAACTTTACAGGAAGCACAAACACCCACTCAGGGAATGACTTAGCATGCACCCATCAGCTGAAATACATCTTCCACCTTTGTTATCCAAGTATCAGGCTGCAAAGCCGTTTGGGAAACTGATCTCATTGACTCAAACCAGACAAAAAGTAAAAACATAGACTCTCTTTACAGCTTAAGGGACACTACCACCATTATTTGACCATGATCTTGGAATGGTCACCTTGTAAAAACAGATATACAAAATACCAGAATGCTATTTGCTTTGCAAGGTTAGCTAAAAAAATCTATCTTAGCTCTTCAATAAAAACACCTAAGATTCTGCAAGCATGTGGCATATCAGACCTGTTTTCAAAAACAGGTGGGAAACAGGAGGGTGCAGAACCAAAGTATCTTTACATTAAGAAAAAAACCCAAAGCTTTTTATTAAAAGAGAGCAAAACCATACACAAAGATGCCTAAATGCATTGCGACAAGTAACCTTTCCTAACTTTAAAGGGACTGCTTACAGTCTTTAATAACCACTTAAGGTCAGACTAGGCAATTACAAAATATAACTTGTACCTACCTTCTTAAAGCCATTATAACATTAAAACTACCTCTCCAGGCTTACAGATTAAGTAAAATACTTTGTCCTGAATCTATCTAAGCATCCATCAATTCAGCATGCTTCCCCATGCAGACCGAAACACTGATCTTGGTTCAAAGACTGAAAGATTACAGAAGCAGGTGAAACACACGGCCCCCATGCCTGCCACCACCCATACATCCAACTTACACTTTGAGCCCTGGAGAGTCCTCAGTGTAGAATCGCCACATCCCCCCAGTGCCTGTGGATGTGGCACGGCCTGCACTTCTCGTCCCGCAGCTGGCATTTTTCCTTTAGGGGACAACAGAATGAAACAAAGACCAAAACACGTTAGCACTCTGCCAGCTTCTAGCACTAAGTACCCCAAGAGACTCTGCTGAAAGAAGACGCTTGGATCAGCCCATACAGTCAGGCTATGCGCCCACGTAAGCAGAGGGCACGATGGCTGGCACAGCACCGCCTAGGGCTACAGCCAGGTGCACCAAGGCCCGGTGAAGGCTCCCAGTGGAGCTCTGCCCGCGCACCCCGCGGAAGCACACGGCTCAGCCCCTCTGCCCGCCGCCAAGCGCAAAGTACGGCGGCAGAGAAAGAAAGCTGCCCCA